AAGGTTTCAAGGATGGGATTTACCCCGTTCTCTCTCAGTCTGCCGAGGACTCAGATACCGATTCGGTCAACGATCAGCTCCCAAGTACGCCGAGATCTTCGTCTGTCTGTACAAGCCAGGAGGGCCCTGAGAACACCGCAACTGAACCTTCTGTTGCTTCACCGACGGTTGATGTTGACGAGTATGACCCGTTTGCTTATTTACAGAGTACGTGGACGGTCGAGAAGCCAGCCAAGACAGCGGCGGCAATTAAGCTTGAGATACCTCCAACACCCCAAAAAACGCCCACACCATCGGTATCTGACACGAGCGAGAAGTTCACCGACTTCTTGATCTCAAACAGTCAGAATGCTGTCTTGGTACAAAATTCTCTCCGTTCTGTTTTGAGCTTCTATTTTCCACCCGAGACGCAAGGGTACCGACAGTTCTCCTTCTCCCTGCTACCGGAACTGGAGGCTTTATGGAAGCCAATTTTCCGCGAAGCCGAACCAGGCAGCCCACGCGCTACTAAACGGAGAATTGATCAGATCTTGGCCATCGGATCTCAAAGGAATGTAGCCAAAGAGTACTCCTCTGTTATCACTGGCCTTCTGGACAAGCTGGGATCTAAAAAGAATGGTGTGAGCCGCAGTGGAAGGCTGGATTTTAGGTCAGTTACCACTAATATGACCCCCAAGTCGACAACATCCTTGTAGCTAACATTTATATAGGTATCTCCTTGCCAACGCCATGCAGGCATACACTGCTCAGCCTCTTGCCAATCAGGCTTCAGATAACCCATTCAATAACTCATATCTTCTTGCAACTCTCATCATCCCCCATCTGGAGACGTATTTGGCCCTTCACACAGAGGTTAGGTACCTCTTGTTGGAGTATCCGCCAGAACATCTCTCCACGATCTTGGCTCTTCAAAAACTGGTTGGTGTGGATCTCATGAAGGTGGCTCAAATTGTTGACTCCAAGAGCGGCAATATTGGCGCCTTCAAACACATCCGTGGAGCATCCATCGTCGACGACACAGACAAGGCCAATCCATTGGGGCATCCAATTGGGTCGCCGACGGGAGAGTCAACAGATGTATCTGTTTCTAAAGCCAACTTTCTTCTCACATCCAGTGCGAGTGATGCCGAAATTGCCACTTTCATCTCTACTGTCAGGAAGCTCTTGATTGAAGTGTCCAAATTCTACAATCCAGAAGAGTCACAGGTTGCGACGCCTACGAGGAAGCAGGAACAAAAGCCTCGACCACCACCCCTTACCAGCACATTTTCTCCCTTCCCCAAAACAACTGGGCCCCAAAGCCCTAAATCACCGTTGTCAGGGAATTCCTATCCCCTCCTCTCACCCGCACTATCGATGAAGGCTACCTCCGTAGCAGAGACAATCAAGACATCAAAGTCTCTCCGATCCTCAAAAAGCAGAAAATCGAAGCTCTCAAGAAGAAGACTGCCCATCGAGGATGATGAAGCGTCCGTTTTCACGTATGATCCTGCCGAGGACAGCGATTATGACTTTGAAGAACGACGATTGATGCCAATCTTTTTGCAAAAGCCCTCGCGGCTGCAAAAGCCAAATAGTCGCAAGGCCCTCAAATTTCTGGGTCTTGCGTAAACCTCCAATTTCTTGTTTCACATCCAAGAGGCCAACATGCGCCTCACAGGGTTGTTTTAACCTTTCGCTACCATGAGATATGACGTGTTACCTTCGACGCTAACAATGTGATTTGATCACTCGCACAAAAAAATCCTGTCCGTTTCTATCAATAATTGTCTAGTACTCTTTTTTTTTCAAGCTCTCGAGCTTTTTCTCGGTTGGTTGGAAGTAAATTTTTTTTTTTTGGTTGGAGCAGGGAATATGCATGAAAAGGAAGGATGGTGTTGGTTGATAACCCCGGCTTTGAATCACTGGATTTTGGGCGGCTTTTTCCTTTTCTCGTAACTCTTATATCCCGCTATTGAGTAGCTGGTATGTGCCTTTTTAACAGAGAAGTCGAATCATCTCGTCATATCTTAATCATAATCACCCACATTTGAAAACAAGTATTTCGTCTCCATTGTGAATGCTGTTACTAGAGGGTCTACCATCTTGTATTTGCTATAAGACGAGCCAAACATCGGATGACAGTAGTTTTCATTTCTTTCTCTTCCCAAACACGGTACGCTAAGCTGACTTAAAATTGCTTGAAATCATATATAATAAATATATGGGGGATGGGTTCATAGCGTAGACTCTTGGAACATTGCTCTTACGAGTTTTTGAGGCGAGTGGTTGCAGAACAGTACATGGAATTAACCACCCAATCGTAAATGGAGAAGCAGCTACAAATAACCCAAAGAAAGATGGCTGTTCTCGAGTCCATAATGATCATCAGAGAGCGCAGTCACGTCACTGGAAGCAGAAAATCGAGCGTTGCAGGACTCTGTTTAACCCCACCAGAACCAGGCGGGTAGTTATTATCCATGCCTCAGTTACTGCCTTGCCCTCCCTAGCCCGGAATGTTCCAATACAAGGACGAACGTAAGTCTGACGTGTCGTGCGGCCCGAGACTTAAAAAAAGATCCAAATGAACATTACTTGTTCTATGCGCAGCAATCAAGATAAAAGAGAAAAAAACGAGGCAAACTGTGGGAGAAATAAGAAACCCAGAGGATAACGGAACCATTCATTATGAGCTGCAAAAGACGCCCATCAATCCGGCACCACTGGTTCGTCGCCTTATCAACCATACTCCATCAACCTTCGTAACCATGAAAGAGTAGTGGACAGCTTAGCAGCAGCCGTTGTTGTTTGAAGAGCCAACACCCTGGCCTGGGCCGACTTGGACGCTTGGCTTGGTGTTGTTTGCTGTGGTGGTACCCATGCGCTCCTTGATTTGACGAGCCATAGTCAAGAAAGCCTGCTCGACGTTGCTGGCGTTCTTTGCTGAGGTCTCGAGGAATGGGATCCCCAGGCTGTCAGCGAACTCCTGTGAGAAAAGATTAATATCGTGACATTCGAGGCATGATTGATGATGGTGGTCTGCGGGGGGGTTCTGGTGGGGAGACTACTCGGCTATTTTCATGTGATTTACATACCTTAGCAACTGTGTACTCCACTACCTTCTTGTCGGACATATCGCTCTTGTTGCCCACGAGCAGCTTGTTGACACCCTCAGTAGCATAGCGGTCGATTTCCTGAAGCCACTGCTTCACGTTGTTGAAGGAGTCCATGTCTGTGACATCGTAGACAACACAGATACCGTGGGCTCCACGGTAGTAGGAAGAAGTGATCGTTCGGAATCGTTCCTGGCCAGCAGTGTCCCACTATATTCAAGCCATAATTAGGTACATGATCCCAAGCCGTGAAACGAGACATATGCAGGGTATACATACAATTTGCAGCTTGACAGTCTTGCCATCAAGTTCGATCGTTCTGATTTTCTAGTCAAGCCTCAGTAATGGTTCCAGAAACGGGATCAAAAGGCAATATATGGGCCGATGGAAACGTACGAAATCAACTCCAATAGTTGAGATGTAGGACTCGGTATAGGTGTCGTCGGCAAAACGCAGGAGCAGGCAGGACTTTCCTACACCGGAGTCTCCGATGAGGAGCAGCTTGAAGAGGTAGTCGTATCTGGTGAGATTTGGTCAGATTTCAGCGGAATCAGATGGTTCGCAGGATATTGTGATTTGAAAATTTGGATGCAAGGTTGCAGCGGCTGGTAGGACTCTGGAAATCAACTGTCAGCAAAGGTGTGCCTATCAGGGGGGTTTATCGCAATAGGAGACTATGCCGGGGTCGCATACCACTCAGGATTCATGTTGGCGGTTCGAGAAGTTTGCAGGTGATAAAAAATGGATGTCAAGTCGTCGAGAAGTGCAGCGCCGTGGGGTGATGGGTCGAAGGGTCGATGAGGATGGGTCGGGCGTTGGGGATGATGAAAGAAAGGTCCAGGTGAGAGCAATAGGCTGCGAAATAGCACCAAAGGATGTACGTCAGGCAGGACACGCCTGCTGATCTATGGGCGGTGGGAGGTGAGGGCAGCTGACAGGTCACGTGGAGGCGGTGCTGGCCCCTTCTGTAATGTGGTAGACGCCAGCGGGAGGCGGCAGGTGTCTGCCCGGTATCAGGTATCAGCCACGGTCGGTCCAGGTCTCCGTGGCCCGCACAGGTAAGCAGGTACCTGAAGACTGGCCTCCCACTGAACGCAGGGGATGCTATCTTTGGCATCACTGTCCGGGCTACAAGCGCCAGCGAGCAGCAGGCCTAATTACCGCGGAGTGTTCAGACATGGGGGAACCTTGCACTCACCAATCCGCCGTGAATCATCTCTGTCAGTTACGACGTAAGCATGTCTCAGTCTGCCACATGCATGCACGCACCAGCCGCTCGGGTATCGCTACAGACTTGACTTGACATTGATGGTTTACAGGCGAGTGTACCGGAGCACCACCCCATTGCAGCTTTGGAGTCTCCTGGCACGGCCAGCTGAGGACGGGTGAGCGAGCTGCACATCTCTTGAATTCTTCTGATTGCCCCTCCATGTTCCAGATGGGTGTTGCATTGTCTTTGGGTTTTGAGTCGTGCACCATGATCCATGTTGATTGTGTGTGCCTGAGTTGCTCGGCGTGGATAAAGCCAAGTAGTACCCGCATCCTACGTTGACAGATACCAAGGCGGGCAAGGCAATGTAATGGTCCATTTCCCAGCTGAGGGCACGCAGGATATCATCCTGCTCATCAGCAAATGCACAGGCCAAGATGCGAGTCCCAACGTGGCACACGGCTCAAGCAACGATAGGACCACCAGCCATGAACTATCCAGCCTGAGACCCGCCACGACGGATAGGGCCCCCACCCGAAAACAGGGCCATGCTTTCTGGGGGAGGAAGCCCAGAAAAAAAAATAAGAGCCTCTTCAGATTGGATGCAACATATTAATCGAAGCTATTCGCTGCGCCGGCCCTACCAGAGCATCCCCAGGCCAATCCATGTGTCTCCCGCCACGCCTCCTCGACAAGCCATGGCGGCCCCAATGCGCTGTGCCCTCCACAGTACTGCTCGCTCTTCCTCACTGTCCTTTGCCCGATGTATAACCACCGTCGACTCGCCCAAAGCATCAACACCACAGCCGAACATCACCGCCAATAACGGGCCTCCGCCCGCCCCGTACCGAACGCAGCCCGGGCTCTGCTCTGGCATGAGCCCTGGGACCTCTTCCGGGAGCTCGCACCACACCTTCTTCGATCCCAAGGGACCATTATGGTTCGGCGCAGGGGGTGATCAGCCGCCCGATCCGAATAAGGCCAACCTGGGTAACAGTGAGTTGGAGAGACAAGATGCTTGTCACCCCGCACGCGGGATTGCACACTGACCCGAAGCCATAGCTTTGAGGATACTGCAAGAACGGTTACCGACTCTTCTTCAATCTCCACTTCCTCAAGACTTGCTTGCACCGAACATCTCCCTCCACCTCTTTCCCTCGACCCATCCTCACCTACCCACAGTCTCCGGCCGCGTTGCGTACAATGCAGCGCTTTGGACCTCCCCTATAGCTTGGAACCGAGTGCCGATCATTGGAAACGTCAAAATAGAGATCCTTGCTGAGCGCGTAACCACCGAGCCTATCACCTTCTTGCCTCGAAGAGCTGGTGCAATCCCCGAACAATTGATCGTCAGATGGTGCGAGAAGCGCAAGCCGGCGGCCGGGGGCGGTAGCCATATCAGTACTATTGCCAAATCCCTTCGGCTTGTCGGCCGCGAAGATGGCGTTGAAGCCAACAAGGCCTTCACGGGCCTTTTCATTTTCGACTTTGACCAGGAGGGCAGGATCCTCAGTCACACCATCGAAACAGCCCAGGAGGGTGGTAACTGGGAGAAAGGAGTCGGCGCCAAGTTCGTGGGCTTGACTGACTGGCTCCTTGGCGGGATACGAGATCCCGGCGGCTCGGGAACCCCATTGCCAATGTTCGAGAGAACTATGATGACGAAGAAACTATGACACAAAATGTGATGACCATCGCCGACCTGGAATCGGAACAGCCAGCAACAACTCCCCAACGAACGTGCACAAGCCAACCTAGGAATTCCCCGTCTAGGATGTGCCGTTGTATCAATAGCCCGACTCACAGGGCAGTGTATCATTTCATGCCAGCAAAACTTGGACACCCTCACCGATAACCTGCCTACGTGCATTGTAGTAACACATATTTCTGTATACCTAATATGAGCACCTCTCCCAACCGGTTTCCTTTTGGCGATTCCTTAGTTTTGAATGGTGATTGGCTGTGTGAAGCCTGCAAGATGAATGCGAGATCTTATCCGACACCTACACACACACTTACACGCAAATAAGCTCTAAGAGCAATGGCCCTTCTCAGCGAAACTAACACGGTCGAAACGTTCCTCAGACTGTTGATATTCGTAGGCTCAACACTCTTATCTTGTACAAGTTTGACCCGACCTTGAAGCTCAGCCATATATTTTGAAAGACGAGCCAGAATTCTAAAAGGCTAGCAACAGACATGATGCGCCATCACCAGGCCCAATAACCGTGTCTAGATTATCAAGAGAGGTAGACCCTCGCTAAGCTCTATGAAGTACATGGCATGTCCATGATCCAGCCCTTGGCCGGGAGGCATTTCACAATATTCTGCCCCCCACGACCATCTCGCCGCAGCTTTTGTGACACACAGTCGTTTCAGTGACCTCCAATATAACCATGTGTCTCCTTTCTTTTCCACCCCCTTCCCCCGAAATATTTCAGCTGGGCCGATATTGCACTGCGCTTTTCACTTGTAAGAAAAAAAACAGGGCTGGAAGAATGTTTTTGGAGAGAAACTCGGTGCGGACACCCCTCACGATTCCAATTCCACAAGTTTTCCCCCCTCATCAGAGCACCATATCCCCGAGCCCCTCACCCTCGAAGCCCAGCGTGGCAAGCTTCTTCAGCCGGGCCTTCTCCCTCGCCCTGTCCGCGGCCTTCTTCTCCTCCGCCAGCTTCTTGACGAAGTCGAGCTCGCCCCTCTCGTACCCGGGGGGCGCCTCGTCGTCCTTGTCCAGGTCGATCTCCCCCAGGAGCAGGACGTTCTCCCCCCGCACCAGGAAGATGCCGTGCGTCACGTCCGCGTAGTAGCCCCTGGGGCTGCCGGGGGCGCCGTCCGGGCTCGAGGCGAAGAAGCGTTCAATCGTTGACTGCAGGACGAGGTTGGCTGCCGCGAAGCCACGCATGGTACACATCGTTAGCCCCCCATTGCCCAACTCTGCTCAAACACACAACGAAGGGGGTAGTTTGGGAAATGGGCAGGCTCGTTCGGGGGCAAAATGGGAGAAGACTCTCCCATATGCCTCCTTGGAATCCAATTGCCCAGTTCCCGTCCGGGGTCATACACACCGAATTGATCCCAACTCCTCAGCACGCCAATGAGTTTCCTCCCATCACGGAGCGCAATCATCAACTTCTCTGTGTGAAAGGGACACGACAAATCAGCCTATCAGGTTCGACAAAAACAGTTTCCCCCCTTCCGACAGGGCAATTCCGGTCCAGCCTCTCTCTCTCTCTCTCTCTACCCACGCTCCAAGCTACAACGTACTGTCGGTGAGGTCCAGAAGCTGCGCCGCCGTCGTGAACATCTGCGGCGGCAACTGCGCGGGCGCCTGGGGAGGGCCCCCGGGGCCTTGATGCGTCCCTGGCGGAGGGGCATCCTGGATGGAGAGGTTTTCCATTATTCGCAAGGAACCCTCTCTTGCTCCGGTCTTGGTCGTGCGCAAAATTCCTAGGATGGTTTTTCTTTTCTTTTCTTGGGGACTGGAACGTTGTCTACACACTCTGCTGAAGCTCCATGGGTTTGTCTCTAGCTTCTCTTCATTTGGCAGCAGGAAACAGCCGGACACCAGGGGGGGCTTGTATGTATTAAATCAGATGTCGTCAAGAGCATGTCCCTTGGTACTGCCCGCCGCATGTGGTGCTGTCTGATTGACGGAACAGGCGTATCGATAAGAGTTTATCACGTGATTACATAAGTCTTTAACAACGTCAACATTCCCCTCGTGCGCGTGGGGTAGCTGGTGAGGGGAAGAATTGCTAGGGAGCAATGGATGAGGTGCTTTCAATTCAGACCGTATGAAATCACCACTTGTTTTCAATAAGAAAAACTGTAGCAATTGCAGTCGCCGCTGGTTGCCAGCATGATTCCACCAGCTTATAGATGGATTGGGAAGGATAGTGGCGCATAACACTCATTCACCAACGGCTTTGGGGGCAGTCAAAATCAGTCAGCTCTGGCTCTTGATAGAAGAAACATGGCAGGTCAGGTCCATATGCAGAGCGATTTGGTGTAACCATCTATAAGGTAATATCCTTTATCATCCAAAGAGGCAGCCCGGATTTATATGAGGCTCTCTGTTCCCAACAACATAAAATAAACCCCTGTTTTCTCGCCAGAGCGTTTTGCTTTTTCTATCATGGTGCCCTCCGGAACGCCTCGAGATGCAAACAAACACATGGTACCGCCCTATTTTCAAGTCAAGACAGGTAAAAGTTGAGTCGTACTGGCCGACTCAGAAAACAACATCTCAACCCGACGAAACTCCGGCCTGGTCTAGTCCGCCCAGAAAGCCCGATCCATCTCCGATTAGGGTTTTTTTTAAAGGCGGGGGAGCTTTTCTTCTCCGCTGAGAAGACTCGCTAAAAATGAGTATGTCCAAAGATCATTAGCTTTGAAGAGAAACAAAAATAACGGATTAGTCCCTGTGTGGCTAGTAGCGGTTCATTGTAGTCCGCTCCAGCGCTTCCAGCAACTCAGGCCGTGAGGCGAGGGCTTCCCGGGCCTGAGAGTACGTGAACCACTGTCGTTCGCGCTTGTGCCGTTCTGGCCACTCGTCGTACTCCTGCAAGACGGTAGCCTGATAAAAGTGATATACAGCACGGTCCTTTGAGGATTTGCGGGCTCGCTTCTCCTCAATGGTACTTAGATTGAAGTCGATCTGGATTGAGATGCCGGCTTCTTCCCAGGCCTCGCGAGAGGCAGCCTGTTCGCAGGTCTCGTCTGATTCCCATCCACCCTTGGGCAGAACCCAGCCTTTTCGTCGAGTCGACTGGATCAAGAGGACGTAGTTGAGGTCTTCGGTGAGGGGCACAATACCTGCCACAAGGCGATCACCAGCAGAGTTGTAGCCTGCATCGCAAAGAGTCGTATTAGTTGAGGCCCGAGCTTCAGCGTCGGTAAAGCAGAGCAGAGCAAGGTCAAGCAGAGCAGGACACACACAACAGACAAACGTAGCAGGCGGAAGCAAGCAAAGCGGAGCAGGATCAATCATGTGAAAGTCGAAAAAGCGTGCAGGGACTCACGTTGATTGCTTCGACCAACACGAGAGTGCATCGACCGACCACTCGAAGACCCAGACATATTTCCCAACAGAAATACTAGTCACACTGGTTTTAAAGAAGGTCTTCCAAGATGCAAACTGTATGGTTGCTTGGGTTCTCTTTCTCCTTCTCTCTCTCCTTCTCCTCTCTTCTTCCTCTTGTTCGGATTCTTCTGCTGCTGGTCTAGATGAGGCGGCCTCCTAATTGAGTACTGGCGAGGGCCCGGTCGTAAGGTGAGGGTGACGAATGGCGAGGGTGAGTGAGGATATGAGCTTGAAGGGCCGAGTTTCCTCAAGTCGAATAATTGCGACGCCGGTGGTTCCGGCTGGTTAAAGCGCCATAACGACAAGATTTAACTAAAAGACCAAAAAGAGGAAGAAATCGATCCAACAGTGAGCCTGGATAGGAGACAGCTGTCGCAGAAGACCCAGGCGCGCAGGGCAGCCTGGGATAGAAAGAAAGGCTGCGAGGTGATGGTGGCGGGAGGTAAAAAAGAGAGCACGCGAGGTGGGCTCCAGTGTTCCGGTAGGGGCAATAGCGCCGTCGGTTGGAGTTTGGTTAGACCAGACACTGCCTGACAGACGATTTTCAGGGGCTCTAAAAGGTAATAATATACCTAGCAGCATTGACTGAGGTACGGTAAGTATCGACCAGGGCACGCACTGGGTGGGACCATGAGGTTAGATCGAGTCGACCGTGGAGATTTTGGGGCCGAAACTTTGTTTGCTGGCAGGCAACGAGCGAAATGTAAGTTGCCCAGCTGGATTGACTGGGCTGGACTGGACTGTAGGTACCTTTTCCTGCCCGTCTCCTCCTAATCCGAATTAATTACTGATTAATTGGCGGTGCTAGCCGGCTCCATCAGGCCAGGAAATTGGCAACGGGCTGGGTTCCCTTCTTTAATTTAAATCATTCGCAGGTCTGCAGGCCAGCTTACCTGGGCTGAATTGAGAGGGTGTATGTAGGCAGAGCGTAGCAAGGCAGCTCAATGACCGACGGTGGTGAGTGAGCGAGGCGAGTCGCATGCGCACTACTCGCACCAGTCCAGGGGACCGGACGAGATGAGATGACGGTGTAAGAGTAGCAAGAGAAGGGCGTGCCACGCCTCGGAGCAACGAACTAAGCTACCTAGGTACGTAAAATCAGGTGGCAAAGAGCGAGTGTAACAGCGGGCTGACGAGGACGAGGCAACCGGAGATGGCTGATGAGGCAGGCAGGAAGCAAGTTGCTGTGCTCTTCTCTGCTGTGCTGCAAGGCTGTAGGATCCTGTCTCGTGCCATCGCAACGGGGCAGACGCGAGGGGGGCCACGGCGGGCTGGAGGCGGTGTTTTATACAGTATCAATGCCACTGGCCTTTAATCACAACGCCTGATCCGCTGTCTCCCACCAACAGCTCCTCAAAGTGGCTTTGATCTACCAGGAGAGGAACCATGGTCGGGCCAGGTCAGGCTAGGTCAAGCAAAGACTGGGCTCAGGGTCGTTTTGGAGCGGTGCAGTATCGCCAGTAATGAACGCGATATTATTAGTTGTAGCTATGACTGTAGGGTCCTCCAATCTTGCAGATGAACTGCGTCACAGCGTATGGGGCTAAGACATAAGCTGCAGACGCTGCCAACGGACAGGATGGAGAATTTAGCAGGTACACAGCAAGGCCAGGCAGGTAGGTACTGGAGGGAGGAGAAGGAAGGAAGGAAGAAAGAAAAAGACGCGGAAGGGCGGCGAGGTATCGAGTACATTGCGCGCAGGCGGCGGCGGGCTCGGCGAAGATGAACCCAATACCTGGATCGTCACGCCGACGTACGTGACAACTTGACAAGCCAAGCCCGGGTCCGGACCAGGCCAGGCCAGAACTGAACAGAGGCGCCTCCCGGCTACGTCCTCTTGGTGGGGTTGGACGAGCGGAGAGAGTTGTCGAGACAAGGTCAAGCATGTCCTGTCCTTGTCCTGTCCAGTCCAGCTAGACACGCTGCACCTACTGGTAGGTGCAGCACAGGGCGGGCTGTAAGGTGAGTGACACAGCATGTAGGTGCGACTGCATGATGCAGAGCCATGTCGCAGAAGGAGTGGTCTCGCTCCCTGTTGGCCTTTGTTCTTCCATTCATTCTTCCATGTGGCTCACGGCGGACGTACATGCGTCCACGCTCATTCGTGCCCAACAACCTGCCTGCGGCCTGTTGCGCCGTGACTAGGTACTGGATAGACGCACCTACATACATATGGACCATGCCCAGCCTACGGTCGATCTTTGCATGTTACAGAGTGAGGGGATCACATGCCCACTAAACGGACGGTAAGCACACAATATCAACTAATCTCGAGTGTTGATCGTGCAGCCGGGGAACACTTTGATCTACTATCTATGGTGAAAAGGAGGTATATTGGCTTAGGGATATTGCTCCCAGTAGCACGGTGTGAGCAATTGGTGGCGCCTCCGACTGGCGATTAGCCTGGCAGGCCTCCGTCTTGCACACAAACTGTATCTCCTGCATCACCTTCACGTACTTGACCCAGTAGAGTCGCCAGCTAGTCGGTTCAGCGAGAATCCTAACTAGAGTCCGCAGCATGAATGACAGCAGCACTGAGTGGCTCCCTTATCCCCGTCCTAGACTTCGGATATGGTCGGACCAGGGAGCCAAAGGTTTACGTGAAATGCGAGAAACATGCTTCCGCCCCGAAAGTTGCCTAATCTAAAGTCTCGTGTAAGTACTCCGTAAGGAGTATAGAAATTACCTACCTTAGGTAGGTACCGGCATCAACCACGAAAGACCCCTCACCTATAAGGTCTCTTAGCTGCTTGCGCTAAGTAAGGTAGGACATCCAACCCACACCTCACCTCACTTTTGGCCTCTCAGCTACATCCCAAGAGAGGTAGTACAATATACGTTGGGAGGGTACCTCTGCGCGGTCCTTGTCTTGTCTCCATCAAGTGAAGGGGTGCTCTTTGCAACCCCTCCATCCAGTCAACAACACAGTGGGCAAGGCGATGGGAAGGGGTAATACGACATGTGGGGGTCCATCGTCCGCTTATTTACTGACTTGGCCATGTCTTGTCTTGTCTTGTCCGTCTCGATGACCTAATAAATCTTGACTGCCAACGGCTCATACCTGCTGCAAAGTATACTTCCTTAGGACCTGAGCCCCGCCACCACTTCCCGGATCTCGTTGCAATCACCGACTAGCAACAGCGAGACATTTGGAGTGAGTGTGGTACAATGTATTCCAAATGCAGAGATTGCCCAGACCATGGAGGGTTCACGCTCCTGTCGTCTTGCCAGTGGAGGGGTCGGACATGCACCACCAGCCAGCACAATGCCTTCACGGAGCTCCAACCGTATACCGAACCCAATGGTGTAGGAGGTACATCGAAGGTGCCGCCCCCACCAGAAAAAGGGACCTGCAGTGCAGCCTCCATCGACACACACAACATGTGGATATCTCGTAGTGCGTCCAGCGAGTGAGCGGGCAGTGATGGACCCGACCAGCCCGACTCTGAGTCCTTCAGATCAGATGGATGTATTCTAGCCGATACCTGGCTACCCACTGTACACTGGTAGGCAGTCAGGTACCTCCCTGGGACAGCTGGACGGATGCTACGAGACCAGCCCCAGGCTGAACCTACAGTTGAACTCCTAAATTGCCCTTGGTACCCTGTAGGGCCTTTGACCCAACGTCCTCGACTCTCGCTCTCAGCTGCAAACCTCACGGCCTCTTCTACGTGCAAACACCACCACCTCTCTGGCCGAAAGATATAAATCACATCCGCCACCCGTTCGTATATGCTTGCGAGACGGCCCATCTATTTGCTCACGGCTCCCCAACCAGCATCCAGCCCATCGCCTACCCCGCTCCGACGAGAGCTTCAAGCCTCGATTCAACCGCTAATAGCGACCACATCCTGGCACATCACGTCGACGCTCCTCTTCGCTCATATTAAGCCAACACCACAATGGACGGCACACGACAGCTTGCAGGTCCCTCACCGGACTACGAGTACATTACCCCGATTGGTGAGCCGCCATCGTTTCATTCCCATTCTCTGGAGGGTTTCTTCTGCACTTCACTCCCAACCTGTCCACCACCTGGCGCTGCCCACCTCCCAATCCCCCATTGCCCACTGCACACGTGCGTCCCCAGGCCCTTGTCGTTGGCTCCCCAAAGCCCCTCCCCCTCTTAGTTGCCGTGAGAAGTTTCTCCTCTTCAGCAACCATTGCTTCACACCATCCACCAGACCCAACTTTCTTCCCACAGCAAAACGCTCGATCCGCTCTCCAAAGCAGCAAGGTGTCGCGCCACCATGACCGGGACCAAGTCTCAGGATCGAAAAATACTGTGCACCCACTCTCTTCCCCTCTTCCTCGCCGCTGTCGCCCTGCCAGGCCAGACCCCTCAGTCAGTTGGCAGCGGCTCTTGGTTACCAACCATCTGAGTTGCCTGCAATATACCGCCTCCCCCATTGGCCCTTTTGCGCTGCTCGTCTTCACCCCCCCTCCCACGTCTGGTCTGCCTTGCACGATGCATCACTAGCTTTCCGTCTTATTCACATGATGCATGTGTATGCATGTATATCTGTCTGCCTATATGTGTCATCGTGATGGGCTTCACTTCCTACAAGGTCCCAAGGCGGTCACCTCACGTCGAGCCGATGCCCAACACCTCGTGGCAAAGGAGAAGCATCCTTGCCCGTCTCGTTGTCCCATTGCCGCACATCTTCTATCCCGAGTGCCACTCGGACAGTTTTGCGTCACCAGCTCTCGCACCGCAACGCCCGCGGCGTTATTGATGTTTTGGGTCCTGTGATTTGCTAACCGTAGCAACAGCGTATTCGAACTCGTCGAGGTGCGGTTACTGTGGCACCAGTGGGAAGAGTCAGTCAAAACGTAAACGTGATATTGTTCCTTTCAGTTGTCGGGGTTATTGGACCTGGCCTAGAACACCATGACCAGTTACCATGACGATCCCCCCACGCCGTTCATGAGACATCGCGTTCGATCGCCGGCCTCGCACTCACCTGCAACAGCCGATCTCGCACACCAATGTAGACCCTGGCCTCTCCCGATGGAAACTAACTCGTATTCTCTACGTCACTAGGCTTCTCGTACTATGCGATCGCCTCTTCTCTCAGTCCGGGCTACTACCAGACCCTCCTCGACCGCAGTTGGAGGCGATCGGGGAAAATGCTCTATCGTCCGGACCAGCGAAGATCATGCTGTCCGCATTACACAATCCGACTGGATTCTCACGAATTCAAGGCCAACAAGGCGCAGCGCCAAACAATAAACAAGTTTAACAGGCATGTGGTTGGTGATGAATATCAAAAGGAGGTGGCTCGTCGCTATCCGAAATCCCGCGAGGAAGCAAAACGTCGCGACAATGAGTTTGTCCTGGTAGATCGGATTCACGAAGCCGAAATCGCCCAACTGCGGACGCCGCCAGAGCCCGCCCACAAGCTCGTTGTTTCTCTTGAGAGTGACGAGTTTACCGAAGAAAAGTATGAAGTTTATAATAACTATCAGATGACCGTCCACAACGACCCGCCCGAGAGTAGAACACGACGCTCTTTTACTCGTTTCCTGTGTAGCTCTCCCTTGCGGCAGGAAACCGTGACCGGGCCTGATGGGAAGAAACGCCGAGTCGGCTCCTTTCACCAATGCTACCGTCTTGATGGGAAACTAGTTGCCATTGGTGTTCTCGATCTGCTTCCCGACTGTGTCAGCTCCGTCTATTTTCTTTATGACGAGAGCATCCATAAATTCGCACCTGGGAAGCTAGGAGCACTTCATGAAATTGGTTTGGCCCAGGAAGGTGGTTATCGTTGGTGGTATCCTGGATTCTATATTCACAGCTGCCCAAAAATGAGGTACAAGATCGATTACTCGCCACAGTATATTCTTGATCCGGAATCTCTTGCGTGGGACCCCTTGGACAAACATGTCTTGAGCCTTCTGGACAAGGAGCCATTTGTCAGTCTCTACTTATACCGTCAGAAGAAAACCGAAGTAGGTATCTCTGATGATTCGCCTCAGATAGAAGATCCTGCGCAGAAATCACAAGAGGGAAATGGCGGTGGTTCCGGTGGCGAGACAAATGAGTCCGACGATGATGACACCGCATTTTTATTCAATGCTGGAATGCCGGGCGTCGCAACACTCGAGGACGTGGGCCTCGTCGACTTGGACAACATTCCTCTTGTCGGCTCACTCGGAGGGCCTCAGTTTAAAACAGCCGATCTGGTTGGTTGGGAGACGAGTACAATATCACAATGGCCAGGAATCAAGGCTAGTATCGCAGAACTAGTCGCAGCTCTCGGGACAGACTGCGTCGATGTCTTGTGTATCAACTTGGATCGAAGTGGTTAACCTGAAAGCGTATATTTACCCCACGGACGCTGAAGCTACAATTATGAAAACTCTCTATACTGACCATATCCAACTGGTGTTATCTAGAATCGAGTATGGGGGTTCTTAAACTCCTTTTCCTTAGAGCTGGCAGGCGCCTACACTAATCGATGTTTCGCTTGGTGGTCTACAGCACCTGATGTACAACTTGCAACACCCTATTCTTAGAGCTAGATGAACCAGTGCGAAAGAAAAAACTGATTTCCACATAATGCTCTACAATCCTATGGCCGTGAGATGTTTCCTAACAAACCCCTTTTGGCCCTCGATTGTCAAAATGTGAAGGGAGAGCCTGACATCGGTCCTTGCATCAACCCAGGCGCCTGTCCTAGAACTGCAGGGTAGCTCTAACTTTACCCCCGGTCAAGCCGGTGTATCGGCCCCACTGTCCCGCCTTATCAGCTCCATATCTCGGTGAGTGATCTTTCAACAAGCAATGATGATCAAAAAAAAAAAATCTGGGAGCTTCGACTTGGTGGTAAATAGAACACTGCCCCATGTAGTGTGACCTTACCGAATACAATCCCCCCCCCAACAGACGTCGCAGTTCCTTAGGATAAGGCGACAATGGCGACAACACACACACTCCTCTCCCCAGCCGAGCTGAATTATCTGCACACGTCGCTGTCGCTGCGCCCGCCCATCCGCTCAGACGGCCGCCTGCCGACACAGTTCCGCCCCCTCACAGCCGAGACGGGCATCCTGCAGGGGACGAACGGGAGCGCGTGCGTGACCTTCTCAGATGGCGCCGAGGCCATCGTGGGCGTGAAGGCGGAGATCGAGAGGACCCCGGACTCGCAGTCCGGCGACGAGGAGGAGAAGAAGGCGAGGGGGGACTGGGTCGAGATCTCGGTGGAGATCCCGTCGCAGAGGGACGACGACGCCGCCACCGTGTTCCTGGGGGAGATGCTGCGGGAGGCCCTGCTGGGCGACGGCGAGTTCGCCAAGAAGCTCCGGATCAACAGGCGGTTTCACTGGCGGCTTCACATCGATGTGGGTGGTTTTTTTCTTTCTCCCTCCCTGGGGGCATGCACTGACAATTATTTTTTGGTAGATTCTTCTCCTTTCGCCACCGCTTTCCTATCCTCTTCCTCTTCTCTCACTCACGACACACCTGGCGCTGTTGGCTACGAGGTTACCAAAGTTAAAGTCAGAAGGCGACGAGGATCCCATGTTTGACGACGATTGGGAGTCGTCGGTGTTCGTATACCCGCGCGAGGGCGCATCCGAAGGGACGAGGCCACCGATCACGCTGCTGGTGGTCACCGTCGGGGACAATGTCATATTCGACCCCTCCAAGGAGGAGCTCGCCGTGGCCGAGACTGCGCTGGCCGTGTCTGTGGCGGAGGTGAGGCGGGAGAAGCCGCGGGGCGGGATGGAGGTCGACTCCAAGGGCCGGGAGCTGAAGCTGCTCTCCATCCGCACGATCGACCCCCCGTCGAGGCTGACGCCACCGGGGGTTCCAAATGGGACTGCTACGACGGGCACGGAGGGGAAGCCGGCACCGAATCTGTCAAGTGAGACGCCGGTCGCGGGTGTGTGGAAGGCGCCCCTTGGAGGAACCAAGTTTGCTGTGGTGGATGGGATCATACAGGCAGTGCTGGAAAAGGGTGGTGTCGCTGATGAGGTCCTGGATGGTTTAGACGGCGTAGAGCTGGCATGAAACATGAAAGAAAAAAAATGATGGCATACGGAAAAGTTTCTTTTTGGGAGGTTCTACATCGGTCTTAATGAGTGACTTATACCATGAATTGGTGTTGATACAGTCCTTCTTCCGCAATGGGAATCCTTCAATCGTACAAGCACGGGCCTACGTATAGTATGGTGGGGTGTTCAGAAGATGCCCCAGAACTTCCTCCTCTCAGGTGGCTTGGCGTCCTCGGCCTGGGGGACCGCGGTGCCCAGTGCCTCCGCCTCGATCTCCTCATCCGTCTTCTCCTTCTCGCTCTTTCCGAACATCATCGTGATGGGGTCCTTGGTCTCGATGCCGTGCATCTTCATGTAGTACCTGCGCTTGGCCAGGTCGTTTTGGTGTTCCATGCGGTGCTCGAACGCACGGATGCCCTTGTCCCTCTCATGCATGACAATGACGTTCTTCCAGCCGAGGAAGAACTCGATCGGGTGGCTCCAGAACGAGGATGCTGGGGGGAGGAGTTCCTTGAATGGCGAGTTGGAGGCATAGTTCAGGAAGAAGGTGAAAATGCCAAGCGAGAGGAGCGTGCCCTGCGATGGATTTCGGTTAGAATTGAGTTGCCATTGGTAGAGAATTCTATAAAAACGGTCAACTCACCATTGAAATGAAGAAGTGCAAGATCCGGCTGTGCCAGAACCAATGCGCCCATGTCCCCTCGGGAGCCATCATTCCGGGGTAGGACTTGCGGTTCTGCACCGCTATTTCCTCAGCGGAAAGAACATGGCCATAGTGCTTGGGAAGAGTGTTCTTCCTGAGGCGAGACCCGTGGGAGGGAGGGTTGAACTTGAGAGGCTTCTCTAGGACAATCGGCTTGCCGCTGCCATTGTTGAGTGACTTTGACGATGCGAAACGAACAAGGACGTTTTGCGTAACCGGGATGCGGATGCCGCGCCAGAGCGGTCCCTGTAAAGGGAGTAGGAAACGTGGGATCACTGCTCCCGAAGCCATGATTGCGACAATTGGCTCCCCAGAGTAGATGTCTCCCTTCTTCAAGAGAAACCTAGCTCCAATCACGCCGTTATCCGCATGACTTTTTTCTGTTGGGCTTATCCCGAAAAAAAAAATGCTTACCTAAGGTTGGGTCAAGCCCGAGCTTTTTCCGGATAGATATTCCGTACCACCGAAAAAAAAAAAGTCAAGTACCCGAGTTCGCCCGGATCTAAACCGCGTCTAGCCTCATGGTACTGTAATTCAGCGGTTTTGATTGGCTGATAACGGACCCAGCCGCCACAAAGTGGCTTGTGACCGCCCTAGTCGCTCTCTTAATTGTCATGCTGTCATATATGATTTCCTTGATTGCGCCGCTACAGGCTTTTTTTTTTCGGCTTCCTTTTCTCTCTCCTGACAATCTACTCTACACCACCAACCTTTCCTTTTCAAAGACCGTGCCAATCGTTCTTTGGAATTGCTTCTCCTAGCCTACGACTTCTTTTTTTACATTTACCTTTAATCAACCCATAATCTTTCAAAATGGCTGGCGGTAAGTGCAATACGGTTATACCCGAGGGGAGTGCACCGGCCGGTGTTCAGAATGCCATTGAGGCTCACCCAGCGCTCTGGGAGCTCGCTGCAGCGTGGGCTTTGGTCCCGAGGAATGATGCGATGCGGCGAATCTGTCTTTGGCGGACTTCCTTGACCTACCCGTCGTTTCTCAGCGTGCTGTCGGGCTGCGCCATTTTCCCCTGGCCAGGAATCTTACATGCCGCTACGAAGAGCGTGTTGGCTATTCCTACCGCTCTCCTGCCCACCACAGCGCTGGAGCGAGCCTCGACGATGACCATTCCACGAACACTGCTGGCACTCCCTCCGAGAATTTGCCTCCCTCGGCCCGCACGTGAGTTGGCTGACATGTGCTTCTAGGTGACGTTAAGAAGGGTGCCAACCTCTTCAAGACCCGTTGTGCTCAGTGCCACACCGTCGAGAAGGACGGCGGCAACAAGATCGGCCCTCTTCTGCACGGTCTCTTCGGTCGCCAGACCGGTTCCGTCGCTGGCTACAGTTACACCGATGCCAACAAGCAGGCCGGCATCACCTGGGACGACAAGACCCTCTTCGCCTACCTCGAGAACCCCAAGAAGTACCTCCCCGGCACCAAGATGGCCTTCGGTGGTCTCAAGAAGGAGAAGGACAGGAACGACCTGATTGCGTAAGTTACCCCCCAGTTGCGCCAACAATTGGCCTACTCCTAGCACTTTGAACTCTGGAGTGCATCGGATTACGTCCCTTTGCCAGAACTCCTCAGCAACTGTGTGATCGGTGTGGAGGTCGAATGTGAGATGATGCAGTCGAGCTAACCTATTTCCCTTCCAGTTTCCTCAAGGAGTCCACTGCTTAAGTGGCTACGACGACACAGGGTGATGATTAGAAAAAGGCTACGGATAGACTGGTGACTGTGGCGAACGTGTATGATAGACTTTTTAAGACCGATTCGTCGGAGCACCTGGACGGTGCATGTACCCCATAAAACTCCTCTTTGGCAACTTATCACCCAGACAGTTTACTGTGGCCATTGTATTGGCCATGGCTTTTGAATTGATTAGACAGGCCCGGGGATAGAGGGCTGGTGTATTAAGCTATAAGACGTCCTTATCTCTTGCTTTCATTTATCCAATCAAATCGTGATCATTTTGACCAAGTCCTTGCAAGGGGTAGGTGTGCTGAGTTGTGGAAATTTGCTCAATTCTCGTCTATTTTCGCTCAATTATTTTATGTTCTTTATGTCTTCTTGTTTATTGTTCATTATTCTTCACGTTATTAGTTCAATTATTTTATGTTCTTTATGTAAGTTATCTTCTTGTCTATTGTTCATTATTCTTCACGTTATTGTATTTTGTACGCTTGGCTTTGTGTTATTGAGCGCATACTCCCAGTCGGCCTCTGTAAACTGCCGCACATTATCGTCAAAGGAACGGCTTAATCCGTGTTCGGCCGCCTCGACAAATAGCGCGTGTAAGTCGGCACCGCTGAACCTGGAAGATCGGATGTCCCGCGCTACCTTTGCTAGATAATCAAGCTCAGCCTGTGAAGTGTGTGGCCGGCTAGACCTCACGATTGTTTCGAGGATGTCCACCCGCTCGTCTGCGTCTGGAAGACCGACGTAGATGTGCTTGTTAAGACGTCCGGGACGAAGCATCGCCTCGTCAATCATGTCGAGGCGATTGGTTGTGCCAATGACGTACACGCCCTTCCGGCCGCGAGCGCCGTCTAGCTCGGTCAGGAGGGCGTTCACCACCCGGACGCCCGACTCGGAGGACGAGCCTTCTCTGCGGCTCACCAGCGAGTCTATTTCATCAAAAAAGAGGATGCACGGGGCTGACAGGCGCGCACGCTCGAAGAGTTCTCTTACTGCCCGCTCGGACTCGCCCACGTATTTGTTAAGAAGCTCAGGCCCGTTGATGAGGATGAAACTGGCCTGGGCTTCGTTGGCAACGGCTTGAGCGATCAGAGTCTTTCCGCAGCCTGGCGGTCCCCATAGAATCACACCAGACGGTTTGTTGATACCCCAGTTTAGATACTGTTCGGGATGTTTGATGGGTCCGATGATTGATGTGGTGAGTTGCTTGCGTGCTTGTTTGAGGGCGCCTACTTCATCCCAACTGACATTGGGGATGGCGGTGAATCCCTCTTTTCGAAGCGAGGGCGTGAATTCTTCGATTGTAAGAAGAAAATCCTTCATTGAAAGGCGAGAGCCAGGTCTCTCGTTGCCTGAAATGGCTACATTCTCGCCTGAGGGGCCGTTCTCGTCCGTGATCTGAAAAAATTGAATAGCGGCTCGCTGTGCGGCACCACGAATAAGTGCCTTGATATCGCTGCCCACATAGCCATTTGTGTATTTTACCAGCTTCTCGATATCAATATCTTCAAGGATATCTGAATTTGGTAAGACTGCGCTGAATATTTCCCTCCGCGTTGCGGCATCGGGGACCTTGATTGAGATGGTTTGCTCGAACCAGCCGCACTTGGTCATTTCTGAATGTAGATCGGTGATATTTGACGTTGTCGCCATAAGGACCACGGGGTGGTGACTAGACTCTTTGCGCATCCTCTCCACCTGTCGCTGAAAAAGCTTGACCATCTGCATGTGGCTGTCGCCGTGCTTGGCACTTCCTGGCTTCGAAGCATAGTGATCAAGGTCGTCGACAAGCATTATGCACGGAGCTAGTCGCATGGCCTCGTCTACGGCCTCTGTAAAGCTCTTCTCCATCCGCTCTTGGTTGTCGAAGCATTCGGCTGCGGACACAATCGGTACCTCGAGCTGCGAAGCTATTGACCGCACCAGGGATGTTTTCCCGACTCCTGTTGGTCCTGAAACAAGTATTCCAGAAATTTTCTCCAATTTTCTGGGTCCCCAAAAATGCTCGCCCTTCAACATCGACTCTAGCTGAAGCAGTAGCCCATCTCGGATTTGGTCAAGGCCTCCCAGGCGAACTGGCTCTGATACGTGCTCTACCTTGTAACGGGTAGGTCTTGGCGTCTTCTTCTGAGAGGGCGTCTTGTGTGTGATCTCCGAGATGCTCTTATCGTTCACGGTCCCATTAGCGCGCGATGTAGGCGTCTCTCCATTTTCCCTAGCACTCTGTGAAGTATTTTGGTCCCCATCTTCAGCCTGTATCCGACGCTTCTTCGACGCATGCGAGCTCGAGGTTGTATTCGTATTCCAGTGCCTGGTCATCTGGAGATTGAGCTGGAACCGCTGATCCTCTTGTTGACTGATCTCCTCGTCAGCTTCCTCGAGAGCGGCCTCCGAGTCTGAAGAGTCCTCCCGCAGCTCCTGCTTCCTCACTTGCAGCGCGCGATCAATTGAGTCGTTGAGGACCTGCTTCTTCTTGCGACTCAGCGACGAGTTGGAATGTTTGACGGCATCGTAGGCGTGTGTAACCGATCTGAAGGGTTTTCCGTCGTTCGATTTTTCTTCGAGGATCTTGATGAGCTGGTAGACGTCATGATCCAGGCCCGGGCGAAGGCTGATGGGCGGCATGGTTGCTTGAAAGCTTTCTAAGAAAAGAACAAAAAAAAATTGGGTGCAAGGTCTGGGTTTCTTCTCACTAAAGACGGATGCCGCATGTACCCCTCTCAAGTGGTACCTTCCAACTAACTTCTGTCGCCCCACTTGCCTAGCATGAAGCGAAAAAAAGTTGAACGGAAAGCATTAGGCAGGAACCTCAGCATACCTAATCCAAAGATCCAAAAGAGGGTGGCTTACATATATACTTAGTCAATCGACGAGCAGCTCGTCCTGAAGGCAAGTGAGTCATTGGTATGAAGGTTTACAGACTTTTTCTTCTGCATGACTGCAGCCTTAGGCTGGCAAGGCTTTTTTTAACCTTTCGTATTCATTGTGTTGAGTTGTCGGGCCTGGCATCTTCATCTTTATTCTCAAACTCTCATTGGTATTCCAAAGATCCAAACACATTTTCAGTTCATATTTGCACTTCCTTTGGGTTGGATTCGTTTATTTTACTAGTTCAAGTCTATTTCCTGAGCACCTGGAACCTAAGAGCTTCTCATTGCTACTCAATGCTAACATACCTGAACTTAGGAGATAAGGTAACCTCCTGGCTGTAAAGTCTCCTCCTGTTGTGCCCACTGTGTTGTAATTTGGCGTATTTGACAACAATAATCGTATTTGTGTATACTATATACGAGTGCTTCATGACCACCTAATCGGGAGTGCCAAACTTGAGCAGGAGCATCCTCATAATGGACATGGCTGAATCGCGATAGCCAGGTCCCTACGTGGCGTAAATAACGAGACGGTGATATCTATGTGCCATTAGTTAATCAAAATTTGTCGAGGTAGACTGATAGGTCCACAATAGAGGGTATTTGAATGAGTCCGTACAATTCGTAGAGCAGCACTCTCCAATACCAGTCCTCAATGGGTTCGCTCCGGGGGGTGGAAAAGTGATAGTCCTCAAAGAACACGGGTGGAAACCCATACACTCTTGCCGCGCCTAGCTCGTATTCCGAGTGTCCGTAGAAACATGCAGGCCCAAGGACGAAGTCCTCAACACTGTGTTCGGGTTCTCCACGCCCAATGAATCGACCTCGAGAACGTCTTGACTATAAGAGGTTCCCGTGGAGCAGCGAGGGAACAATGTTTTCATGGCCCATTCTTCCAAATAATACTGGCACCACGTCCTTGATCACTCTTTCGATTTGTTGTTCGAGTTCGGGATCGCGCCCGCTTGCCGTCGAAATAATATGGCAAATCGGGCGAAGGCGATTCTCAACGTAAAATTGGGGCCATGAGGCTTTCCATGTATTATCCTGTGGTATCTCGCCGCAGAAGGTGGTTACGGAAAACCCGAACGCAGGTGCCTCGAAGCTTGGAGGAATTGGAGTCGGCTGGGAGTGCATCCTGCTAAGTCTTCGGCCAAGTCCAACGGGTGGGCTGCCCATAACCACTTCCAAGAGTTCGGTCACAATGAAGTACTCGTTTTGGTCCCCTTCCATGCGGCCCCAGCCAAATGATCTCGGGGCAAACCCTTCGAGGGCGACATTCATGGCTCTTAGCGACGCATCCTCTCCTACCGAAACAGTATTTGTTGGATCAGCAAACGAGGGCGAGTTGAGAAGACCTCGCATCTACTTTTCCTCCATCGAATATGGATGCTCCTGGCGTCACATACCTTTGAACTTGGCTCTCGCTTGTGGCCCCAAGCCTGTCTTGACCATGAGAGCAACGCGTTGCTCACCACTGTTGCCAAATAGCTCGAACGAATCTGAGGTTGACCATCCTTTACGGAAGTACATCTGGGCCGGCTGGTCCGGCTCCAGCCGGGCAGTTGCAATAATAGCTGGGTCAGCAAGGCGTGGAATTGTATAGCGGTCCATGACAAATGGAATAAGAAACCAAACGCCTTTGCCTGAATATATATGATGATGGAACAATATCAGAGTAACTTAAAGGGCGACGAATTTGCAATGAGCATAGCATATGCCGTCTTTGTACTTGCCTCCGGTCAGGAACACACAATGATTAAATTAAGTACCTTGGAAGGAGCCTTGCACCAGTGGATTGTATTATAGAAAGCACAGTTTGCTCCTTGTGCAGGCACCTACCCAGACGAAGGGGAAGTAGAATAGACATATCTAAAGTAACCCGAGAAAATATGCATACCTTAACGCCACTACAGTGTTAGCTTTCTAATGATCAGGGTGGACCGAACTCATTATCATCATCAGGTAATGTTGGACAAGCTCCGTGCATGCAAACAGGAAACGGAAATCCAAATATGGATATCTCAAGATGCCGGGATCGCCTCAAGTTTCTGCCTTTGCGGCTGCTCGGCCGCAGAATGAACTGGCTCATGGTTCGGTACGGGCTGGAGATCCGGCAGTGTCGTTTCGGGGCCCGCTGGGAGTTTTTGTGATATTTTGCCCGTCACCTCTCTCTCGAGGGCCTCTAGTTCTTCTTCTACTTCGTCCTCGTCATGTGCAGAGATGCGACCGCCGAGCATATCGCTAATTTCCTGTATACCGTGGAAAGCCCAACCTTATTAGTCTTCATGCCTGGGTGAGGTTGACCTATGTCTGGGGAGAATCCAATGCGGAGCTGTACCTGTTGATATGCGATGGCATCGGCGCTTTCGCCCATAAGCTTTTCCACATTCTCTATGCCACCCATCTCCTTGTGGATATCGTTGAGCACCTTGGTGCCCTGTTGTAGGCCGAATAACACGTCTTTCTGGATGAGGGCAAACTCAACGTTCGATGTCAGCTTTTCTAGCTGCTCGAGTTGCGAATCCGTCTGGGAAAGCAGGCTTTGCTGGTATTTCTTGCGCCGTAGAGCCAAAAGAGCGCGCTCTTTATCGCCCTTGGCGAGCATCTCCCTAGCAATGTCCGTCTCCTTATCGGTCAATACGGTGATGCGCCGTTGGTATTGATGTAGCTTGTCGCGCTGATTCTTCATGTCCAGGATCGCCCTAGCAAGTGTCAGAAATGAAAGCAAGCAGAGAGAGGGGAGGCAAGGGGGGCAGTCTGTGGCATCCTGAGTTGTCTCAGAACCCCCCGGGCCAGTCGCACTCACTTGTCCTGGGCGGTGACCTTGCTCCCATTTGCGCCCATGGTGAGGTATCCTGCGATGGACGCGCGTATATGGTAGAGATGCGGAACGAAGCGCGGGACCTGGCGCGCTGTTTTCAATTACTTGTGCGAGGCGTTTCGAGTGATTTGGAATGTGTGCGAAGACGGTCCATTTGCTATCGGCATCTGGCTCGTCATCGATTCATGGATCCTTGCCGTGGAGGTGGGCGGCGGCACACGACCGTCTGCTTATCGATAAGCCCCAATCATGGGGCGACATCGTGCCGAGAGGCTTGCGTTAAGTGGCGCTTTTCTCAGCAACCTCCATCAGACCCCGCAAAGTGGTTCTTACTTGTTTGTTCTGTACGGTGCATTCCTGAGCAGATATTGAGAGGCCCGTCAGAATGCAATTCTAGGTGGGTTTGCGGACTGACGGATCGGTGAGCGACTGCCACAATGTGGTGGGCAAGTAGGTGGTACAAACGCTGAAATAACAGCAATGGCGATACCCACAATCTCTCAAGAGCAAGCTAGGGTTAGGAGGCGATCTTATTCATCCGGTCTGGCTTGAACCCCGACATGCATACACACTTGATTCTGAGGTTAGAGCGAGAGCCGCAATCTGATATGAATTCCGCGATTGGCCGGAATAATGCTGCTTTTGGATGTGCGGGATGAATTGGGTGCTGCTGAGCAGTCTCCGACAGGCTAAATGCCAAACCAACAAACATCATTGTTTATAGCATGTGGTGAGTAACAGTACTCAAGAATCACGGATTGTGGCAAGTTCCGTGTTAACCCCTCTATGGGGTAATTCTTGTTAGACTACTAAAGGTGGGTGTCGTCTACCTTGAGGAAAGGGATGTAGATGACACTCCATGGGCCCCCCTTTCTCTCTCCTTCCTTCTTTCTTTCTGGGATTCTCTTCCAGTCCATCTGTGGAGAATATCATTAGGCCGAGTATTCTCAGTACTGTAAGTCTGTCCATGGAGAGACTGTATAGTGAATGCGCTGTGTATCCAGTTGCTTCCCACTCGCCAAGCATCGATAACACATGGATGGACTACACTGAATTGATTTGCTACATTTCATATACCCACCCCCGCTCAAATACACAGATTGCCCTGAAGATATAAGCTTAATTAGGGTTCCATGGAATCTCTTGTCTATGTACTGTAACCTACCCATCTGCCAATAAGGTAGGGGGAGGTGTACATATTCGGGTTGTGGTTGAGCCTAAAGGACTCATATGTGCAAAAGTCAAACTGTATATATGGGAATCTTCAGGGTATAATTACTATGTACAATGTATGTGCTTAATGTGCCAATGGATGCCCTCTAATACAGTGCGGGCAGCTGGGAGCTCGTGCTGGTCAAAATAAGCTCCCCGGTCCCTGGAGGTGCCCACCGAGGCCTCAGTTCTGTAGCCGTTGGAGAGGGCGGTTTTAGTGGCTCCTCGCCCTATCTCGCCCCGTACCTTAAACAAGAGCTTCGGACGCAGGGCCGATCGCATTTTGGGTTGCGACTCAAAAATATGGATCCAAGGACCAGCGGCCGTGCGGTGTTAGCCTGATAGGGACGCTGGAACTGTTAAAAAGTACCTTCGTCTGTCGCGGAATGCCTTGTTCTGTGTCTGCCATGGCCTCTATTCCCAAACGCCCAGGAGAAAAACGAGACTCGCTTCCACGCCCTTCCTCTCGTCCGCATGGGCCCAATTCCCTCCAATAACTTGAGGCCGCCCAGCACTCTAGGCCTGCCCATCCATGCACCATCCTTGTGGTGGTGATGCAAGCTAATGAATCATTAGCCCCTATGCCTACGCCAGCTGTCGCCGGTGTAAACCACTCACGCCCCCAAGTCCCCTTCCTTGCGCTTCCCCTCCCTCCCCTCAATTACCCCATACCCCGGGGAAAAGTGCGAATGACCAACAAGAACCCCCGTCGTCGTGCAGTGCATGGTTGGGATTGGAATGCAACATGCCATATTCTTGTTTTCCTTGGGGATCGGAGGCCCCCCCCCTCCTTTTCGTGCCCTTGATGACCTTTCTCCCTCACATGATTCCCTCCTCCACGTATGATGGCGCCATGAGGGGGAGGACGGGTTCCGGGAATTCCCACGCAGTGAGGGGAAGATGTGCGTGACTAGTGTGCTTGCTTCTTCCTGTTCGTGCCCCCTCTTCCCTTGGATTTCATTTCCTCGTGCATCCTCCATTCACCCGGGTCCCCAACTTGCAAACAAGAGTGGCCTGTCCCGTGCGTGGACTACTGGCGTGGGGCTTCCTCGACCTGGACTGTTGTTGCATAGCTCGCCAGGGATGAGGTGTCGGTGTCACGCCTCACTAGCGTTGCCGATGAATTCATAGCGGTTTCCTGGAAGCGAGGAGGGGTTGGTGTCGATGAGGGCTTTGACCGGAATGAGCTACTGCACGAACCACCAGAGAAACAAGCCTGACACGGGCATATAGGGTTCGTGTTGAGCGGAGGAGGAGGAGTGCAGTGGCGGGCGAACCAATTCTTGAGTGACGAAGAAGGCATTCTGTAGTAAGGGTCCTGGTGTTGAGAAACAAGAAGGCTGTGACAGTAGATCCAGGTGAGTGTGTAAGACGTCTGCCTTCGACTGGACAAGAACGTCGAGGAAGTCGACAGAGCAGGTCTAGGGGTGTATGGGTGTCACCACCTGACGGAGGTCAGGTCGAGGGCACTGGCTCATACTTATAGCTCAAGACTTCTCGGAGTTGTGACGGGATCTAAGCAAGGGCCTAGCTAGCCAGGCCCTGGAACGGCTGGACCGCACGGTGGGGTTGAGTACAACAAAGGAGAAAGGTTTCCTATCCATGTTTGACATGAAGGAGGTGTGTGGCAGCTTCGTGCATGGCATGGCATTGGCAAGGTAGGGAGGGCAAAGGCAACGCACAGGACAGGCACCGTAAATAAAGGTGGCGGCCATTTAAAGATTAGTTACCCAAAACGGGTATCACCAGTTAATTACCGACTGGTACCCGAGGTAAGCAATGGTGTTCAGCCACAACTTGAGTCTGCAACGAAAAATTTACTGTGGCGCTAGCTGTGGCCAAGCCACAACCGAAGCCGCTACTTGTGGCTTCTGGAAGTGTGTTTTACAGGTTCCGTTTAATACGTCCATGGCTGCTAGCTGCCTCAGACCTGGAATCACGTACTGCTTGAGATACCCAGCGCCTTCCTCCCAACTGCTTCTTCAACCTACAACATGCTGCCGTGAGGCGGTTTAGAATCGAAGACTGCTCGTTTTTCCGCTCGGACTCATCGGAGATGTCTTCAGCCCAAACTTTTCTTATCCCAAAGTCACGACACTTATATGGGACCCTTCTTGCAGATTTGAGCCGTATTTCGTGCATGGGTCTGCCGTCTCGGAGGATCGGAGCTCTCCCGGCATCCACTCCAACGGGCCCTACTTCTTCGTCCCTCGCTCGGTTATTAGAGCACTTGCCTCCTCAACGAACATCAATGAACTTCTTTTTACCTTCTTTTAGTGCTTCTATGCAGGATGCCCAGCGCCCAATCAAAACTCAAACCATGATTTCAAAGAAGCAGACCCATCTCCAGCCCACTGATCTCAGCGCTGACGCGAGGGCTACCTGCTTCCTCGAAGCGCCTCATCGCTCACGAGTCCCCATTTCCTCACCCCTAGGTCCTTGACCGCGCTGATAGAAGGAGCCTACATGGGTCCAAAGGCCCAACACCTAATTACGTCTTGGATATCAGTTAGACGCCGCCTGATACCGATATCAACGGGCCTGTGGGTCTCAAATATCCTCCTGTCTCTTGTTCATGCCGGTTTTCCTTCTCGCGCGAACAGGCATGGCAGCGGCCTCACTTTTTTTTGCGGGCTTCCCGAGTTATCTGCGCGAAAGGTCTCTCTGATTGGATGCAGACACGGCTAACCGGAATGCCATGGCCTCTGCTCTGCCCTTCGAGACCACTCCTGGAACCGCCCTGAGAATGCGCTCCGTCTGCGGTGGTTCCTCTCACCACCCCCGAACCCTTCGTCTTGCCGCTGCGGGACTTTGAATATGTGCTCAATGACGTGCGAGCTTCGACACGTTGTCTGATCTTGTCGGGATGGCCCGGGTTAGCCCAGCTTCCTAGCCCTGCCAATATTTAGGCAAGCACAGCTGTGCCCAACGGACTGCTCACTCCCTCCCAATACTCCATCAGCCATGATCGGTGTCCCCCCTTCAGTGTCCACCTTTACTTGATACCGCAGAAGGGTGAGCCACGAAACAGCACACAAGGTCCGGGCAAAGAATGATGAAATGAACTCTAAGCGATGGCCCTCGCCAACCGTCCGTTGGCATTAACATGCAGTTGAAGAAGATGCTATTACAGGAAAGAGACAACACAACAGAAGAGCAGAAACTGTATCGATCCGTTTCCCTGAAGCCTTTACTTATACCGCCCATACCTGCCTGCCCTTTCACCATGACAAAATATTATATGTACCGGAAAACGCAGCCAGCCCCGTCTATGTTAAAATTAAATACCCAGAGTGAATTCGACACCGACATCAATGTCACGAGCTACGCGATTATCCACATCAGCAACGGGAACCAGGGGAAATCGGAAGGTTTTTGTGGAGACAGGATCAAGGGTCTACTTACCAAGCTTGACCATCTTTGACAATTGGACGGCCTTTTCAGAGGCGCTCTGGAGATCGTCGATGGAGAAGATCTTCATGCCTGACTCATTGATGAGCTGGTGGGCCTGCTCGACGTTGGTGCCCTGGAGACGGGCAATGATGGGGATCTTGAGGTTGAGGGCCTCGACGGTCTGGATGAGACCCATGGCGATGTGGTCGCAGCGGACGATACCACCGAAGATGTTGACGAAGATGGCGGTGACCTTGGAGTCGCTGGTGATAAGCTCGAAGGCCTCCTTTATGGCAGCAGGGGTAGCACCACCTCCAACGTCCAGGAAGTTAGCGGGCTGACCGCCGTTCAGCTTGATGATATCCATGGTAGCCATGGCAAGACCGGCACCGTTGACAAGGCAGCCAATGTCACCGTCGAGCTTGATGAAGTTCAGGCCGGACTGAGCGGCACGAACCTCATCGGCATCCTCCTGGGAGGTATCGCGCCACTCAAAGACGTCCTTCTGGCGGAAGTCGGCGTTGTCATCGAAACCGAACTTGGCATCCATGCACAGGACCTGGTGGTCAGAGGTCTCGGAAAGGGGGTTAATTTCGATCTGGGTGGAGTCCTTCTCACGGAAGATCTTGTAAAGGCGCTGGATGGTGTCCTTGGCATCCTCGATGCACTGCTCGCTGAAGCCCAGCTTCGTGGCGATGTCACGGGCCATCTCATCAGTGACTCCAACGTTGATATCGATGTAGGTGGTGTTGATGGCTTCGGGGGTCTCCTTGGCAACGGTCTCAATGTCCATACCTCCCTGGGAAGACGAGACGATCACGGGGGTCTGGGAAGCACGGTCCATGAGGATAGCCAGGTAGAACTCGCGGCGGGCGAACTTGCGCTCGCAGATGTAGACGCTGTTGCACATACGGCCCTGGGCGCCAGTCTGCTTGGTGATGAGCTTGTGGCCAATCATCTGCTGGGCAAACATCTCAGCCTCGTGAGGAGAGTAGATGACACGGACACCGCCCTTGAGACCGTTGTCGAAGGTGCCCTTACCACGGCCACCAGCCAGAACCTGGGCCTTGATGACCATGTCCTCAGTTCCAATGTCCTTCGCTACGGCCTTGGCCTCGGCAGGATTCTTGGCGACAGCGCCCTTGGGAACACCGATTCCATACTGTAGATGACCGTCTGTATTAGTTTTTCTGTGGTGCGATTATGGCCTGCGGATGTGGCATGTTGGGTTCGTTACCTTCTTCAGGAGGTCGGCGGAAAGGTACTCGTGGATGCTCAGAGCTCTGCGTTGCTGTGCTACACCGGGCAGTCTGACGGAGGGGGCGAACTGCACAAGATTGTTAGAAACGGGAGCTCACCAGGGCGTTCGGTGATGTAGACACTACATAGGCTTTCCATTGTAGCTTGGAAAGGTCGTAGCAGTGACGTCGAGGTGCAGCAAGGGGGGGAAAAACGTACCTTGGTGGCGTTCAACGCCGAAGCAAGAGAGCGGCTGCTACCAAGACGAAACATGGCTGCAGGTTATGTGGTGTCTGAAAAGGAAAAGGGAAAGGAGGCACCGTCGGAGGGGGGAATCGTTGATGGTTGACAACCCAGGATAGGGATGATGCGCAGGTGATGATTATTCGAGACAGAGCTATCTCCTGCTTTCTTGTGATTCGACCACTTTGGTTAGGGATACCATCCTGCAACGGTAGAATGTCGGTCTCCGGGTTTCGCCGGCACCGACCCAGAAATCTTTCGGACAAAGTTTGTCCCGAGCTACCCTTAGCCGGATGCCGCACCAAGTTGGTGATTCAATAGGGCAAATAGCATCGAAGTAGGGCATCAAACTGGATAGCAGCTCTAGGTAAGTATTTCAGATAGGCAATTGCTCATATTTATGCAATTGATAATGCTGAGACGATATTTGTGTTCATTAACTAATGTAGCTTACACTCTTATATTTCCTTCTGTAATTCCAAAGTGCCTGAGAACGGTTGATTGGTAAAGGACAAGCCAGATAGCTGGCAGAGAGTTATGTATCTGCGTCCCGATCATGGTTATGCAAGATCCCACTGCCGAACCGACTTTCCGCGGTCACAGCGTGTTCCAAACTGCATGGCGATCTCTATGCGTCGGGCCCCATTTGCCGAGGTCTCGCTCCGTTTTCTGCCTCGTTAGCCACGAGCTACAAGCGATGCTAGCCGTGTCCCACCAGCCAAATTTTCAATGTGCAGGGCATTGGATTGACCGAGTCTATCCATTTCTCATTACATGAGGTGAACCACCGGCCTAAACCCAATGTAATCCCAAACCTAGAATGTTGAACTCCATTGCTCAGAGCCACCAAATATATCCCATAACGGGCCATCCAGTTCCAAGCCACGTAAACACAAGCAAGTAAACCAATTGACAAACCCAGACATAGTAAAACAAAACACCCTCAATCCTGAAAAGCCCACGGCGTCCCCATCACCCTCCCGCCCCCGTCGAACCTCACCCCCTCCCCCCTCAGCAGCCTCCTCTTCTCGTCCAGCGTGATGCCCTCGCCGCTGCGCGGCCACTTGCCCTTGAACCCGCCCAGCGTGCCCCCCGTCGCCACGACCCGGTGGCAGGGCACCCCCGGGGCGAACGGGTTGCGCCGCAGCGCGTTGCCGACGGCCCGCGGCGACGTGCCCAGGTGCGCGGAGAGCAGGCCGTACGTCGTGAACCGCCCGCGGGGGATGGCGCAGAGGGCCGCCCACACGCGCTTCTCGAAGGGGGTGCGGCGCGAGGCGGCGATGAGGGCGAGCTGGGCGGCCGTGTCGTCGTCGGCGTGCTGGGGGGCGCGCTTGGCTACGCGGGGTGGTTTGTAGGGGGTGGTGGGAGGTTCTGGCGTTGGGGTTTGTTCTTGGGCTGTTTCTGCCGCGGTCATGGTGGCGTTCATTTGAGGTTGTGGCTGTATAAGAGGAGGAGTTGTGTGAAGTGATATTGTCGTGAATTGTCTCTAATTTGTTGTGGTGAATTGTCTGTTAAAAAAGCACCAGGGAAAAGATTTGAATGAATTTGTAAACGAAATAAAAAGCAGGTTTGCGATGAGGAAACCCAGTCGCAATGGGAGTTCTGGTCATTTATAAGCGGTGGCGCGCACGAAGCTGATATCAAGAGCAACTACCATCACCAAGTCACATGAGTGGTTTCGGATGGCGATTTAGCGTCTGGCAGACGACACCAATCATCTCAAAAGCAATACCATCTACGCAAACACCAGGCAGCAGATTGATTAAAAAGCAAAATAGGCACATAGGAACCATACAGCAGCTGTGTCATTCTACAAGTCGTCATATTTAGGTGTGGACAGGGGGGCAGGACAGAAAGCGGGATATGATGCATCCGAGGAACGATGGGTCTTTGAGTCAAAAAATTTCACGATTTATAGAGTGGTAGGTAAAGTAACATCCGGCGGTCTGTTTGCCGCTCTAACCAGTAAACGCCGTTGATGCCGTACAGTATGTTGCTTCATTCTCGCCTCGTTTGCCGAGTGCGATATCCAAAACAGAAAAAGGAGCTTCCCCATGAGTGATTCCCCTTCATGAACCCGGGCCATGCCGTGGCTTTATTTCCCCCATCATGTGTATCAATGTGTCGCAAATGAATTGTAATTTAGAACAGTAATATCCCTCTAAACCATGAATGACTCTCCGCATCCACATTCCTCCTCTGTTGCCCATTGTGTTAGTACGAAAATTCGAGAATAGAGCGGGGGGAAAGGGAGGTTTAAACGTACTGATGTTGGGGTTCCTGAACACAAACCGCTGGTTGAGCTTATCCTCAGCCCAGTCCATCTCGCTCCCAATGATGCTAAACAACGCCTTGCTATCAATCAAGACCTTGACGCCGTCCTGCTCGACCGTCTCGTCAAACGCCCCCGGCTTCTCCACGTACTCGAGGTGGTACGCCAGCCCGCTGCAGCCGCGGTTCTTGACCCCGACCTTGATCAGCTTGGGCTCGGGCTGGTCCAGGAGGGAGCGCAGCTGCTCGACGGCCGACGGGGTCAGCGTCATGGCAGCCTTGCGAGCCCGCAGCTTGGGCCGCGGGCGAGGCGTCTTGGCCTTGGTCTTTGGCGGCTCGGCCACGGCCACCGGGGGCGCAGTCGGCTTCTCTACATGGGCGGCGGACTGCTTCTGTTGCTTCTGGTGGTCGAGAGCCTGCTGGTGGTGCGCGGGTATGGCCGGTGGGCGAGTTTCGTGGACTCGGGGGAGCGGCTCGGGATGGCTGAGTGACGTCTCGGGGATATCGTCATTGCTCGGCGGAGTTGGCGAGGTGGAAGGCAGCGAGTAGGAATGGTATGTGGAGGACAATCTTTTGGGCGCGGCGAAGAGGAGGGTGTTGATGCGACTCTGTCGCAGGGCAACTCTGGCCACGGATCGAGGTAGGACAATCATGGCAAGATCATGAAGAGCAAGGCGTTGGAGACTGGCTAGCGTTCATGACAGGTCCCGGCGCTGGTGCAAAACGGGAGGGTCAGGAGGTGTTCAACGTTCAATTGCGAAGGCTCGGTGAGGCGCGGGAGGGCGTAGCTGGTGTTGCTGTAGGTGGCGGGTATTTGAGGAGAGGGGGCAAAGGATTTTGGCTGCTTGCTGGTGTAGTTGCGGTTCTGGAGAGAAGAAGTATGGCGGCGAACTGTGTGGTTGCCGGATAGATTTAGGCAAGGTAGATCCCAAAACGCCACAGTGCAGCGCTGCAGCGCCCCAACAAAGCCTGTGACCGGAGCTTCAGCGGCCCAAGTGCGTTGTAATTGGGGGGATGAGGGGGTTGCCCCACAGATCCATTGGTCAGCCGGCACACTCTCCCTCGAACTCGATTTTGTCGTATGACATGGAGCAGCCGCGCTCCGAGCCTATCGGAGGCCCAGCATTTGTCAGTCCCTCCTGATCTTTCCGTCGGCGCTGCCTGCCAGATCCATCTCTACGCGCATAGTTTATGCTCTGTATCTGACGAGCCCTCGTTTTCAAGGCCGAAGCTGACTAGAAGCTAATTAGTCAACCTGCTCGTGGCTACGGCCTTTCGGCTGCCACTCAATTACTAAGGTAATGTCCCACAACGGTTCGGGTCATCATTTGACTTCGTCCCGTACGGCCAAATAGGTTCTTCGGCGCCGTGCGGTCCTATTTTCATGCACAGCGACTGGTCCGATTGAACTCTAATGCCTACAACACAACCTCATTCATGGCCACAGCCAACTCCATACCACACAGCAGTCAAGAAAGGAGCATTCATGGATGAGTGAGCCAAGCCCACAATCTCGCATTAATACTAAAGTAGACTCCCTACTATTAAAATCGCCACCTATGGTGCATCATCTACAACGGCCGTGGCTCATTTACGCTTCATTCCAAACAAATATCATCTAAACCTCGCCACGCTTCTCGGAGACACCATGGGCCTCAGCAGCAGCTGTGCCCTGGACAACAACGTCCTCGACAGTCTCGTCACTGAACTTGAGATCCTCCTCCAGCGTGATGGTGTCCTTGATCTTCCAGAAGAGAACTGGGGCGGCGCAGACGAGGGAGAATGCGAGCAGAGCCCAGGTGACGTAGAACATGGTGCGGTACTCGATGTTGGCATCACTGTTGATCGACCAGAAAGCGCAGGCACCAGCACTTTGGATTCCCTATGGACCCGCCACGTTAGCATAGACTTCTTACACACATCGGATTTCAAGCGCATCTTCTTACCTTGTAGAAACCAGCCAAGTTGGCGGCCTTGCGTCCTGAGTTGGAGAGAGCACCCATGTACCAATAGATGGAGGTCTGCCAGACAGCGTCGAAGAGGCCGTAGAAGAAGTAGAGGAACATGGGGCCAATGAACTTCTCACCGCCGTCAGTCCAGTCGACGAGACCGCTGGCCTGGTACTCGTCAGTGGCAGCCTCCTTTCGGCTAACCTGCTTGATCTCCCAGGCGTAACCTCCGCCCCAGACAACAAAGGTGATGGCGAAAAGGGCAACCCAGCAGATCTTGGCACGCAGGCTGCGAGTAATCTTGCCAACATCGAGGCAGTAACCCATGATGATAGCGCCAATGATCTGGGCAAGCCAGTAGAGCAGACCATTGAGGGCACGTGTGCGGACATTGAAATGGGCTCCGTTGAGACCGTTGTTCTGGTAGGTGTAGAAGATGTTGGAGCTGAAGAACATGGGGAACAGCGCGACGATCCAGGGCTCAGCTCGGATAGTTTCCCAGAGACCCAAGAGCTCGGTCTTCCACGATGGGTTCTTCATCAAGACGACCTTGGAACCGTCTTCTCGGATGATCTTGTCTGCGTTGCAGAGGAAAATTCCAAGAACAAGACCGATGAACATGAGAACAATGAATCCAGCATAAGTACCATCTGTGACGGGTCCTGATGTCTTGTGGATGTTTTCAGCGAGGGGGATCTGTTAAAAGGACATCAATTAGCTTCAAATCAAGTTTAATTACCCAGACGCATCCAAGTCGAAGCTGAAGTTCAGTTCATCCATGGAGTGACTTCTTCCCCCAAAAGAAACAATAAGCACGTACCAGAGAACCCAAGACAGCACCGGTGTTGAAAATGATCCAGAACCAGGAGATGTAGCGTCCCTTGTACTCCTCAGTGGGGTACGACATCATGACTGCGCCCTGGCCAGTCCAGAGGAGACCAGCACACAGACCAAGGAAGGCACCAGCGAAGACGGTGAAGCCGAAGTTTTGGTTGTGGTTGTATGACAGGAAAGAGGCGGCGTAGATGCAGTAACCCAGACCACCAAAGGCGATGGTGAAGCGGAGACCGAGAACGTTGGCAATGGTTCCAGAGAAGAAACCCACGACGGCGAAGACACCGTAAAGCGCGGTGTTGGCAACCGTCTGGGCATGGGGGTCAACCTGGCCACCACCTCCGAGACCACCCAGAGCATTGAACATACCAGGGCACAAGAAGCAGACGAAGGAAACCATAAGCAGCTGCACTAGAGGAGAAGCATACCAGAGCTCCTTGCCGAAGACGTTGAAGCTCTTGTAGATCCATCCTGAGGGTCGGGGGACACTCCCCAGGGGCGCATGAGCGTCTGTAGCGACCTCAGTCGGGCCGGCCTTTTCGTCCGCCATTGTATCGACTGTTGAGTTGGCGGATTGGTTGAAGGTCTCGTGAGAACTTGAGATTGAAGATGCAGGGTCGTTCTCCCTGTCTACAAGTTACGAGCGAGTTGGCGACCTTTGCGATGAAAGGTCGATGTGGAACGAAGAACAAAACCAAGCACCCCGGACGGTTTGACTTTGAGGCTCAGGCGTGCTAGGAAAAAGGCACAGCTGTTCGTGGGGGGAGGAAGGGGAAAAAAAGAGTGAGGAGAGGGCCGATATTTGAATCTCAACGGCGCCGATCGCCCCTCTTCGGAGGAGTGTGGTAACAGGGCAGGGGGGCCGAGCACAAGTGAATGGGGAGCTAAAAGAGACAGGACGGATACGGGGCTGTTGGTGTGATGATGTGACACTCCATCCGGGACGATAACATGAATGGGACCCTTCACGCTTGGCTGGACTGAAAGGATGGGGTGGGTGGATGGATGGATGGATTTCAGTGGTAAGGTGGGAATTCAGAAGCAGGGTCCTGACCTCGTGGTCTGGTAGCAATCAGCCAGCAGGTGGACAAAGCTGGTAGGCGCGAGGTGAGAGCCAGTCTCGAAATGAAACAAACAGGCAAGGTACCGGCGCTGGCAGAGCAAGGTCAAGGTCGTAAGGTAGCATCGTGTCCTATCGCAGCAGTTTCTGGGAGCCAGGTGAACTAACTGCGCGCAGATAACACCCAGACTAATTGCGGCGAAGGCCGGGGCTCCCTTCCATGGTTACGTGACAATGAGTCGGGATTTTTTTGTGGAGGGATGAAGGAACGGGGAAGAGTCAGTCACACTGGACTTGGACTCGGGCTGGCCCCGATGCAGCAATCGACGTTGGCTCGAATACCTACCTGAACGGTTAGGTACTATCAATTTGCATCTGCTGGTGATACCAGATGTTAGCTGCTACCTCAGGCAGGTCGGTCCCTGCCTAGCAACCAGAGACGGGGACTGGTACGTATCAGGCACATACCCGCATCTCCTCGATGAATCAGGGCCAATCTACATGGATCACCGTCCCGATGGCATGTTGATCAGCCATGTCCGAGCAATCTGGGTATCCGGCACCCAAGGCTGAACAACGAATGGCACTTGGGCAGGCCAACTGGCTATCATGTGGCCTGTCCCGTATTGCGCTGAGCTGAGCTGAGCTGAGCTGCAGCAAATGCAATGCAATGCCCAGTGCTTCTTGTGCCCCAGACAAACAACATTGACGATTGCCGATGCTACGATACATGGTGCAGCACGCCAAGCTCAAGTTGTCAGCCTTGAAGTGGACGGGCAATTGATTGCACCTGGACTGACCCACGGGGACTTGCCTTAGTGCTGGAGCGCCATCGTGGCGCTGGCTCCTCCCCGTATCCGCCATCTTAGGGCCTTGTTATTCCCCCTAATTTGCCTACGCCTGCCTGCAGCCATCACGCGACCCCTAACCTGCTATATGCGAACACAGGTACCTCCTTGAAACGATCAAGTCTTCCTGCCGGAATGGCAGGTCTCGAAAAACCACACAGCACGCCCTTCTGAGCATAGGCCGAGGTGCAAATTATCAGCCGCAAGAGAATTGAAGGGATGCTCGTACACTTGCCTAGTAGCCTGCTTACTCGCCGCCCCTAGAACATTGGAGGACCTCTCCCCCCGTTCTAGCTCTTTTAGCCCCGTCACTGTTGAGAATTAACCCGTCCCAAACCGCCAAGCGCTAACAAAGGGTCCAAGTAAAACAGAAATCGGCGAAACAGTGACAGCAGTAACCAGAGATGAAAAGCTCCTGTGTGATACAGCTACAGAGTCATGCCTAAATACGCCGAAAAGGAGGTGCCAATTGTCCCTTCACGCCGCCCAGGAGCTGCCCGCAACAAAACGTGTGACATGTCTGTTTTACATTTGGTACAAGCAATATCGAAGGTACCTCCATACCCCAGATCCACAAGGGCCTTTTTGGAAGGACCGATTACTCGCCTGCCGGTGATTGGGCGTGAGAGGCGCCGATCGGCCCCTGCTGCTGCCCGCGCTTCAAATGGGTGTAATCACGGCTGTTTGCATAGACAAACTCTGTTTTCTGCCCATCACATGGACTTGCCCAATGCCCGTATTTTCAACATGACAAGATATTGCTTTTTTAAAACTAGGACCCCACTTCGCCTCTCGCATTGATTGATCTACTATACCTGGGACAGGGAACCCAAGAGAATACTACCCAATTGTTTAAAAAAGAACATCGTAAGTTGAATCTAAATTAGAACCAGACTCGCAAACGAGGAGGAAGATAGATCACATCTGCAGCAACAAACACAGTCCATTGTGCAGGAATGTCAGTTTCTCATTTTGGGATACTTTCCTTATTTACACACACATCAATCAGATACGGCTCCTGAAGTCCCATCCCCCTCAGCATTGCTGCGCTGGGGGCATCCATGATCCATCCACCATGTAACGTTTCCCTCGTCCATCATACCCACGACCCCAGTACACGGAATCGTCCCCCCAAACCCCAGCCAACCAACTCGTGCCACCACCTACCTGTAACCTCTGTGCTGTGCACGTCGCCACACAGGGGGGACTGATTATCCTACACGTCGAATCTGTGAACAACCGACCAACCAGGCCTCGCCTCCCTTCCTTTGAATTGCCTTCATTACCTGCCGCCAGTACGCGGTCCATCCGAGGTGGGCCGTGCACTGGAGCAGTGTAACATACGAACCGATCCATTCCCTCTGCCTTGGGTCCCAGCTACTGGGTATGGCAATCTGAAGTATTGTGAGCTCGTGCTAGGTTGCCCGCACCTCTACCCCGAGTAGTTAATCGGCTCGCGTGTGGAGGGTTCGTTACACTAGCATGACTCCATAAACCCCAAAGACATGCCTTCGCCAACCGGCCTGGTAAGCCAGGTATTACTTGTGACTATGGTCTTACCGCGGTATTGCAAGATGAGAGAGCACACCACACCGTGGCAGAGGTTGTCGGCCAGGTTTCGTATAAGGCAACATGCACAATAAATATTATGTAGAGAGAACATGAGGGGCGCCAAGGGGAGTTGCATTAATAACTGTTAATTTTTCATTTACCTGCTTGGCTTCTACATGTATCGATTTTCATATTGGTCAGGCGAGGGATATCATCTTCCTGCAGTTACCCATTTGCAATTCTTGAACTTTGACCTTAATTCTTGTTTTTGCCTTCCGCAAAAACGATTCTGTTCTTTTGACTAGGTAATTAGTTGTACCCATGACGTTGGCATACAAGCCAGACCCGTTGCAATCATTCAGCGCTAACCTCCCATCCCGTCCCATCCCGTCCCGGGATCCGTTTTGACGACGCCTGGAAGTTGTGCCCATTCTCATACCCAAAATAAAAAAAGATTCCCAATGCCTCCTCCAACGCCAGTAATGACTATCAAACCAAGCCCAATCTAGGCTCTTCCCCAATTTTTGTAAATACCGATACCCCAAAACCTATATATTTTGCAGGGTGACCCAGACCATAGCAGAACCTGCAAAACACAACGACCCAAAGTCCCAATATCTGGGTTGTGCGCGAGTAATAGTCGTTCCTCGACCTCCGGGTAGTGAGTACTGATACAAGCAATATAATAAACAATAAAATTGATGCCATCCATTAGCCATCAGGATAGCTCGAAAAAACATGACGTATAATAAGAGACGCAAAAACGAGAGAACATTGAAAGCGAGGGTATCAAGGTAAAATAAAAAACAGACAAGCGATGAAATACTGGCGGCATAATAAAATGATATATGTGTCGTCGTTATGGTAAATGGCACCAGGCACAGCCAAGATGTGTGTGTGCCTTGAAGCAGATACAGCTCCAGACGGAGCTGACTCCCGAGTTTGTTTTGTTTTAGTTCGCTCGGTCGCGGGACATCCACCCAAACAAATCGGTACGAGATGATCCCGCCGCAATTGGGGGCGTTGGCTCAGTGGGTGTGCGGACCACAGCAGTCTCGCGGGGTTCTAGGAGCAGACTCTTGCGATAGTACGTGACTTGAATCTTGCCCTGGTCACCTTCGCGGACCTTGTTGATCTGATCGCCAAACCAGTCCTGCATGTCGGGGACCTCATTGAGGCGATAAGGAATTTGGAATCGCTGGAGTTCACCGATAATCTTTGCTGTGCGGGTATGCTTATCGAAATTGATAACTGTCATGCCGCTTGCCCTGTGATCGTCGGTTTCCTCACCAAAGGACATTTGCTTGGTTGGTGGGTTGCCGATATCAACAAAAGTCAAATCGGTGAGATACATGCCAAGGAATGGAAGGCATGGTGGGACGTGATCATGGAGACGAGTTCGAAGTATCTTGTTGTTTTGAGATGGCTCAACAAGTTCCTGGAGGGTACGGAGCATCGTCTTCCGTCGGACGGAGAGGGTATCCCACGTCTTCCTTAAGCGGCTGATAGTGCTGCTGTTGAGACTGCAAATGATGGCCATGAGTCCATCATAGTTGTTCAACTCCAAGCAGTGGTGAGCAATCTTGATCCACTGCTTCAGAACAGCAGCTCGTTTCTTGATCTCCGAGTGTTGGAGGATAGTGTCGGCCACCAAGTTCGAGATATCCGTGGAAAGCGCGGACATGGCTTTCACGTTTGGAGCATCCACACCTCCATTCTTCATCCACTGAGAAGCGAGAAGCTCCTCGGGCGAAATAGCGCAAAAGATATTCATTTGCCTAACTGTGAGTTGACGGGCTAATTCGATTGGCTCGAAGTCGAGAACATTGGGCGAGGCGCCACCTGATTTCCAAACAGAGAGCAGGTTCTGCTGGCTCTTTGAGAGCGAAGTCGCCGGAACAGGGGTCTCGGCCGGGACATATTGAGCCACGGATGTGTTTGTCTTGCCCATAGATGAGACAAGTCGTGGAACAAGCGAAGCGCCACCAGAAACGCGGTGAGCCAACTCCACAAGCCGGCGCCCAGCAGGGGGCAGGAGCTCACTTAGTCTGCCCTCTGCGAAAGTAGTGATCAAGTCGAGAGCTTCACGAT